AAAATGATTAAAAATAGTAAAAACCAAAATAAAAAAAAATACAAAAAGTCAAAAATAAAGAAAATGATTTTTGTGATTTTTTTCAGAATTTTCAGACAAAAATTGAATTTAAAATGAATTTTTGAAGTTTTAAACTAATTAAAACATATGATATGGTGGGAGAACTGACTTGAGGTTTTTGCGTTTTATCGCAAATGTTGCGGTTTGGCAAGAGTTGCCACCGACTTTTCTTTTATCCGAAAAGAAAGGTGAAAAAGCACAGGAAAGACCTTTGAGATTGTTTCTTGGGTTCGGGGGGTAGATTATAAAAAGGGAAGGTATTAACACCCTTTTTATCCATGGTTTTCCATGGGCTCTTAGTTACTTGCTAGATCAGTTGCTTTTGTTTGAAATTATGCTTTGTGTGGTTTTTGAAAATATTTTGTAAAGAGGCCATTGTTTAGGCAATCTTTGTAATGATTCTTGTTCGTAAGAATGTATACAAAGATGTTTGATCTTTTGAAAATGTTTTCAATTTTTGCAAGATGTTTGAAAGTGTATGTGATTGTTTTGAAAATATCAAGGATGTTTGTTTTGAAATGGAGCAAGTAATTAGGAGCAATCTACCTACTCAAATGTCTTTCTTGTTCATTTTCTTTTCCTTTGATATTGTTGTCTTACCATTGATTTGGTAAGCAACTCTATCTTTGAATGTAAACGGGACGGACGTGGGTTATCGTATAGCCATGATTAGCAATGTTGCAAGGTATCTTAGCATTCCTTTTGAGTGACTAAGATCATTTTGTAAGGAAACTTTGAATAGCGTCATCGAGGGACTATGATCTTGTATTTGCTTGTTTTTGCTAAGATACCTTACATGCGTAATATGGCCATTTTGCAAGGCAATCAAGTGGGATAACCCTAGGGGTGCTTGTGTGCAAATGTGTTATTTTCATGCTTGATTTTGTCTTGAATTAAGGTTTTCTATTTTGATTTCTTTTATCTTGCCATACAAACCCTAATTACTAGCATGTTATGTAAAAGCGATAAATTGTGAAATTTAAAGTTACTACGCTATTACAACATTTGTGGGAGGGGGTATACAATATATGAATGGGGATTGCAATAACATAAACCTAATTAATCTATTACAACCAAATTGAATATGTACAAGAATTGAATTAAATAATATACAAGATGAATTAAATATGCAAGAATTATAAATGCAAAGAAAAATATTTTTTGTTTGGTTTCTTAATATGAAGGAGGTTTTGACCTAAACCTAATTAGAGAAAAAAAAGAGTAATTAAATTAAATTAAACTTAAGTTAAATAAAGAAATTATTTAATAAAATATTTTAATTAAGAAGAGATTTTTTGAATAAAACCCTAAATCTATTTTACTTGATTAAAAGAAAAAAAGAAAAAGATATTTTTTTGTATTTTATATTTTTGTATTTGAAAATAATATGCGGTGCTATGAAATATTTTTGGTCTTTTTTATATTGAAATAAGTGTATTTAAATAAATAATAATCTAGTTTTAATTTAATTTACAAGGAAATTAGTAAAATTAAATAAAGTATAATGAATAAAAATAATTTTTATTATGTGGAAAAACATTTAAATTATGTAAAAATATAAATCTATTATTTTTATACTTTTTATGATTTTTTTGGTATTTTATAAAATATATTTAAAATAAAAAGAAATAAATAAGTAAATAAAAATAAAATGGGCCAAGGGGTGTCACAAGCAATCGGTGAAGTATGCTAGTAAAAACAAAAAAAAATGCCAGGCCCAAAGGGCCCAACGCTTGCAAAAAAGATGTTAGAAAAATAAAAAAAATAGAAAAATGTAAAAGGGGGGTTCTCATTGATTCGAACCCTCGCCCTTTAGGTAACGTATGCCTTAGTACGCGCGTGCTTGCCACTGGGGTGGCTGTTTCATCCAGTCATATAATAAAAGCATAGATATATATTAGAAACTGCTTTCTGAAGGCAACTTCATCTTCAATCTTGAGCCATAGTCGGACCACCTGTATCTTCCTCATTTCTCCATAAAAATGGAAACTCCAAACATGAAAGTTATGGTGTTTCTTCCCACGAATTCAACCATATAACTTATGTAAACTAAAAGTCAAAGATAAAATCTAATTTTACTGGCCCTAAATTGAAACCTAATTTTCTCAGAAATTTCAAATCCAAAATTCTCTATACACAGTCAATATAAATGGAAACTATGGACATGGTTGGCTTTAGAGAAAGGATATCTACATTTTGTTTTCATAAATCAGGATAAAATTATGATTGTAGGAAGAGATAAAAGTTTGAGGTTTTACCTCTTGCAGCTGGAATCGTGAATGGAGTTTGAGCAACTTTTGAGATGGCCCGAGGATCTATTTAGCTTGCCTGGACCTCCTTGAATGTATTCCAACTCTTACTTTGCCTTGAAAGTCCCTAAATCTCTCTACTCAAGTCAACCTGCAAGCTTGATATTTGAAAATGGTGGATGGTGATGGAGGAGCTACAGTCTTGAAACAGGGGCCTGGATCACTTTGATATGATGTATATTAAGTGTTTGGGTGGTTAAAACTTAATACGCACGAGTGGATTTGGAGATGGCTATGTGAGGTTCAAAACTGTCAAGTTATGGCAGATTCTGAGTTGCAGAGTGCTTGGGAGTGTTTTTGAGCCTTAGCCTTCGTGTCTCCACTTACAAAATAGTGTGTCTACTTATAAGCAAGAGGTTTTAAGACTTGTAACCACTCAGATTTCAAAACTCACATGTTTTGCTTGGTTACTTGTTTTTGAAGCAAAGCTAGCAAGCATGGTTTTAATGTGAAGTACAAAGCTTAGGGGGCTGAGACCTTTAAACACAATTTTTATGATTGTGTAGAGTGTGTTTGTGCAGAAAGAACAAATGCAAGGCTCAATGCAAGCTGACTTTGCATAAAGCTTGCTTTTCTAAAATGGCAATGTTGCTTTTCTTCCCAAAATGGAATTAAATTTGTACAATGCATTGAATGCTTGGATTAAAGCTTCCAAAAGCTGTGAAAATATTTAATTATGGAGTGAAAGTCAAGTTAGAAGCCTGCAAAGTGGGATTTGTACATCATGCTTGAGGATTGGATCCAATGTTCTTCACAAAATGGCTTGTAATCCAAGTGACAAAACACCAACTTCATCTCTTCAATTCTCGCTACTCAAGAATGATCTCAAGGAGTACTTGGACATTTTTGAAAGCTTGCAATGTGATATACAACTCATATTTGAATTGCTTTTGAAGATTCCCCTTTGAACTATGTGAAAAATTGCCATGAAGTGAGGTAAAAAATCTGCCTAACTAGGGCAAAATTTCACTAAGTCATTTTTAGTTCATGAGCATGTATTCACAAAATTATAACTTGAGATCCAATCATTTTTAGGAGAAGTTGTATGAAGAAAAGTTGTATATTTCATGGAGAACTACAACTTTAATGTTGGAAGTTTCCTTTGAATCATCTTGCATCATGGTGAAAATTTGGCTCAAAGTTGTGAAAAATAAGAAATTTTCTATACTTAGAAAAATTTCTAAGTTAAGAAATTTCATCTTCTCAAAATAAAATCTTGAATTCTTGATTTCTTGATGAACAAGTTTCATATTTTGACATGTTTTGATGAATTATGACCTATGGCACTTGAATTTGACCAAAAAGTCAAAGTTTGACTTTTCAGTATACAATTGACTTTTGATCAGTTGACTGCAAAATTCATCTGTCAATCAAATGGATTTTCAATGTTTAAAATCATGTAACTAGGTCAAAATTATGCAATTAGACTCTTTAGATCATGACTCAACCCAATTGATCATTTTCTAGGTCAAAAACCAGAAATTGCCCTTTCTCAGTCAAAACCCTAATTTTGACCATTTTTCCCTTTTGATGATTTGATCAAATTTCTTAAGGAATTATGGTCCAAACTTGATCAAATGATACATATGATTTTAAAATGTTAGTGTGGATAAAAAATTACGAAGTTTGACTGTAAATTGGCCATGGTTGACTTTTCCCCCCATACAACTGATTTTTAGGTCAACTGTTCAATTGACTGATCAAAAGTGTGATCCAAGGCTTGAAACTTAACATGAGTAATCTTGGGGGTCCATAATGATCCATGAAAGTCATATGGGGAATTGGAAGTTCAAAAATCCTTGTGCAATCTCAAACCCTAATTTTTAGTCATCAGTGCTTGAGGAGGTGCCTTGAGCTGATCAACCCAAATGCAATCTTGATCCAAAGGAGATCTTATGAGAAAATTCTTAATAAGTAAGAGGGCAAATTTTGGGGTACAAAAAAACAAAATTGATAAAATAAAATAAAACAGAAAAAACAGTGAGTCGTTGATCAAGTCAACTAGCTGATTTTATGTAGGATCAAATATTTAGATTAAAAATACATTGTAAGTACAGTGAGTACACGCGCAGGAAATCAAATTGCACTTCTTCTTCTCAGATGAGGACAAGTGTCAGAGAGACCACTTGTCTTCCCAACAGTCAGTGTGAATACCAAGGCGGAGGGAGGAAAATGAGACAAAATGTTTCAGTAAATAATGTTGTTTACGTTATCAAAACAACAACAATTAATTTTTCTCAATTATTCCAAATGTAATCCTTCCTACCTCCTTTGATATGTTATCATAAATCATTTGTTTTGGTAAAAATAATATCAAAAGAAAAAAAAATCTGAAAAAAAAGAGAATAAAGAGAGAAAGAGATACCAGTCGGAAAAGAAAACAGGGGAGGCGGACTCGCGGTGGCCGGTGATGGAGTCACGGTGGCGTCACCGCGAGGGATTTCTGAAATAATTTTTTTTCAACAGTTTTTAAATCGCATTCTTCTCCTCGTCTCAAATATCAACTCAAAATTTTCAGAAAATCAAAAAGGGAGGCAAGATCTACAAAAGAGTTTCGAAAATAATTGGTTCACAGCAACATCAAATATCACAGAATAAGAGATTAGAGAGGGATTCCTGTAACAGGGAAGGATGAGCAACCTTTCGATAGGAAAAAAGAGTCGGAATGATGTCCAAGGTTCTAGTCATGGTGGTTTGAAGGTCTCCGACAAGGGAGTTTTATGCTCAGAGGGAAACTTTAGCGAGTTTAAGGGTGGCTCCGGTGATCTTTTGAATCGAGATGTTGTGAAGGCGCAATTCAGGCAAGGTATTCCGGGAGGTGGAGGTTGGGTTTGGCTCCAAAGACGGGTGTTTGTTAGGTTTCCGGCAAGGTCATTCCGGTCAGGCTCCAGGGAGGATTCCGGAGAAGGTGAGTTTTTCTTACACTTTTTCTTTTTGCTCTGAGTTTTTTTAATGAAAAATCCCTGAATGAGTCCCCAAATTTGTTTTTTTATATTTATCTTCCCCTGCTATCTGAGACTCTTCTGAGATATCTAGGCCTTGCTAATGGGCTTATGATTTTTGTTGCTTTTTCATTCCTCTCGTGAATTAACACAAACTTCTTGTTGTAGTGACTTGCTTGTTGGGCTTGAAATCTGATTTTGGCACGTGACTTTGCTTTTGCTGTAAACTATGACAGTGATTTTGTGGCCTTTTACTGAGTTTGCAGTAACTTTTCTTCTTGAGCCTCTCTTTGTGAACTAAACAAAGTTTGTGATTTGCAAAAATGGGTTGTGGTTCAATGATTAAATCTGAATCTATTTTCTCTTATATGCAGCAGACGAAGCCTTTGTTTGTTGGGTTGGAAAATTGTGATTCCCGACTTGTTTTTTCTTTTTACAGCGGTATTGTGATGCCGGTTTATTTGAACTCGTATCCACGCGTAAAATTTCATTTTTTTAAGACCTTTATTATGAACCAAATATTGTGTTTTTGATTTGTAATAGAGGTCACGGGCCGATGATTAAACCTGAATCTGATTTGTGCAACAAATGAGGCCTTAAATATACGATTTAAATCTTGCTAGCTTGCGTGAATTTTGTTATTTTTTGACTGAATTGATACACCATATTCTTTTCTCTTCATGTGTCATGAACAATGCTTGAGACATGATATGGAAAATATGGAGAAGCAAACGTGTCAAAGCATGGAGTTTGGCATGACAGATTAAACTTAAGGATGGTCAAGAACTGTTGGCAAGCCGAAAGCGAAGTTGATGTTACTTGAAGATTAAGCCATAGGATAATATAGATTCATGTAACTTTATGAAATTGTTTGGGAATTTTATAAATGTAAAGCCCTATGATTTGCACATCAATTGTTATTGACTTGTAAAAGAACTTCTTTGTAAAATTGCAAACACGATAGATCTTGGAGTAATTCAAAATTGTTCTTGAGTTTATGACTTGCATTGTTCTTGTAACATAAATTGAAACTATAAGTTAGCTTCTTGCCATTGTCCGTGTGAGTCGAAGATAGAAATGAATTCTTGGGCGAACCATGTAACTTGAACAATCCACTTGAATGACTTTGATAGAATTTTGAAACTTGGCCTTGAATGACATTTTGAATGAATGAAGAGACCTTATAACTCTTAAATTTGGAAAAGAATTGAAATTTGAAACAACTTGAATCTTGCTTTAACTTGAAATTTCCAAACTTATGAAAGTAAGAAATCCTCTCCATTTTTATTTCCAAATTGAAATTTTGGTCAAATTTGAGCCCATGAACTCTTTGAATCTTCATACTTTGACATAATGGCCAATTATTCCTTAAACTCAACAAACTCATACCATGGCTCTTGTCTTGATGATGAATAAATTCAACACGAAAAAAATAAAGCTTTGGGGCAAATGTCATGGCATTAGAAAATTAGTAGCATGAATTGAAAATTAGAGGTTAAGACCATTATAAGTCAAAAAATGACTTAAAACGTTTCACTAATTTCCATGACTTTTTAAGCACAATTCGATTTCGACCCTTAAAGCAAGTTTATAAATGACACCATTTGTGACATGGTGAAAAAAAAATCATCCCAAAATGATAAAAATAGAACGAGTTATGATCCTTGAAAGTTGGATGAAAATCAACTGAAATTAAGTCAAAGTAAAAAAACGACCTCTAATATACTAAACTTTTGATGGTGCTCTTCACATAATTAACTCTCGACTTGTAAAGAGAAGTTGGAGATGATGTCAAGAAGATTCATATGCTCGAAGAATCAATAAAAAATAATTAATAATGAAGAAGTTATGATCATTTGAACTCGAACTTGCTAATGTTGACTTTCAGTCAACCAACGTTGAATTAACTATAGACTTTGTCTTTCTTCAACAACCCGAGGCACTATTAATCACATATGAACTTGAGATGACGAATCTTGATCAAATCATGCTCACGCTTGTTGGGACTTGAGATTACTCGTCGAAGAAGGCATGGAAATAAACACATGAACCTATTTCAAAGAGTCTTGAGAATTAAGCCACCAAACTCTCCTTAACTATGTTGAGTGAAGCTTGAGAATAACGTGACCTAAGATTATAGATCACTACTATGAAGCATAGGCTTTTGGGAACCATATTTGTCCCGAACAAACCACAACCCTAATCGGAGAACCATCACCTAAATTTCTTGACTGCAAACCTGTCTTACAAAAAACAGAATAAACAAAATAGATTTTTGGATTTTGGTTAGAGGTTAGTAGAATATAAAACACATATATACAAGATACATGATTCAAGGTGCTTGGTGATCTCTCAAGAGAAAAATTAAAGATTAGACACAATAGAAGAAGTACTCAAGCCCTAATGTGTGATCTTGTTGCATGGTGATAGCATGAGATGATAGAGGAATCTTAGGAGGAAAATTAGGGTATAATAGCTGCCCTTATTTAAGTGTCTTCTATCCAGAGATATGAAGGTTAAAATCTTCCTGTCGACGTGATTGAAGATACTTAAATATAAAACATGCCCTATTTTTGGCCCTAAATTGCCATGCAAATGTTTATGATTATGCATGCAAACAAACAAATTCAGAGGTGACACAGGACTCCACTGGGGATGCGGGAAATAAAATAAAGGATCAAAAGAAAGCCCGACCAGGAAAATAAATCACTGGTGAACAAAAGACTCGACTCTACTGGGGTAAAGCCCATGGAGAAGATAAAGCATCATCAACTCAAATATTGAGGAAAAAAAGGTAATGGATGACAAAGATCGACATATAACCGCGAATTATCCACTCACATAGAGGATAGCAAAAAAAGTAATGTCGACTCACAGGGAATGGAAGTGGTGACATAATACTAATAAATACTAATATTAGTGGTGGTAACAAATGATTAGCATTAGTACTTATAACTGGAAACAAATGAACTTCTTCATAGAAAAGTGAATCTTAACAATTAACTATCTCCCATAATGACGAGACTACATTCATCGGAGTAACAAAACTCAACAATGAACTATCTCCCATAATGACGAGACTACCATCCATTGGAGTAACAAATCTCAACAACAAACTATCTCCCATAATAACGATACTACCATCCATTGGAGTAACAAATCTCAACAACGAACTATCTCCCATAATGACGAGACTACCATCCATTGGAGTAATAAATATCAACAACGAACTATCTCCCATAATGACGAGACTACCATTCATCGGAGTAACAAATCTCAACAACAAACTATCTCCCATGATGACGAGACTACCATCCATTGGAGTAACAAATCTCAATAACAAACTATCTCCCATAATGACGAGACTACCATCCATTGGAGTAACAAATCTCAACAACGAACTATCTCCCATTATGACGAGACTACCATCCATTGGAGTAACAAATCATGAATTTCTATGGAAACTAACAGACTTAATGGGGAAGTACAAGTTGCTCAAATAAAGAGACCTACCATCTGCTGTTATGAGAAGGAGTTGTAATAATGACTTCCTGGGGAAATGGCAATATATTCTTGTTGAGGAGATAAAATCTTCACGTGCAAAATAAATGCACATTCTCAAACCAGGGCTCAAAGCCCACAAAAATCTAAATAATAATGTTGTCGGGAGCCATAGATCCAAACCAGAAATAAACCAGAGTGAAACAGTCAACCAAGATAGCACCTGATGAGAAATAAACTCAAAAGGGAAAAATGGATCTAACCAAACAATGAGCCGAATAGGAAGGCTAAAGCAAAATTCTTTCACGGGGGATAACTCAGTGGGGAAACTAAAAGAATATACACTTTCTGCTTAAGGTTAACACTCTATTGGAGAGAGGGTAATATAACTCTGTAAAATAGGGTAATATGCCAACAAAAACAAAAATGAATGCAAATGAGCAAAGAATGTTAAATTCAGCCATGCATGATGTATCTATGAATGTATGAATGTCACCATGCATATGCTGACAAAATAGACATACAACACTGGGAATAACCAGACAAAACCAGCTTGGGTAAAGTTAACACTCGGCTAAATCACATCCATGATGAAAATTTATAAGAAAGTAAGCACCAATTGATGAAACAAATTCCTATTCAACGACTTAACTTCACTTGGAAGAAACATAATCCGAAAGTAATCAAATCAAAATAATAAAATCAGTGCAAATACAAGGATATAACATCCTCCTCTAGGCTTCACCAGGGAACATCACACAGACTTCAATGGGGAAAACAAATTTCTCAACGTCTAGATTTCCACTAGAGATTACAATACTGACTTCATTAGGGCAGATGAAAACTGCATCATCGAGATATCAACTGGGGATCTCGTGCTAACTTAATCAGGGAGGGCAACACCACATCATTGAGGAGAGCCCAAAATTTATCCTTCAATACCAAGAGTGAAAATTACACAAACCTCCTTGGGGAGAAATTATGAAACCACATGGGGACAACAACTTTTAGAGAGAAACATTTCTCAGCTTTACTTGGGGATTTAAGAAGTCAAACAATACCACAAGAAATCAAAATTATGGTGATTTTAAATCAAACCCAACACTTGGTGGGAGAAAACCCAAAAAGTTAACAATTATTTCAATACTTCTTAGGAAAGATACTGCCCTTGTCTAGTTGTTTGGGAAATAAACAACAACAATAATGCCAACACTGCAAAAGGGCGACATTTTGCAAATGATTCCACCTCAGCACACAAAGGGAGAAAGGACTTTCCTCATATGAGCGAAGACCTTAATGGGGAATCCGAGATAGAGGCTTCAGACCATGCAAACCTGAAATTAAAATGAACCAAGACTTGACTGGGGAAAATGGGATCACAAACCCAACACCGCACCATACATCAATTGGTATCATCTCCAACTATATGAGAAACACAAGAAGATCATATGAATACCAGTAAAAGTGACCTGGGAGAAACTTCCCGGGGAATACATACTTCCAAAATTTCGAGGTTCGTCCATCCTTGAAATCACCATTTTTATTTTTCTTGAGTTACAAAATTTAATGTAAAAAGTAATTTGTAAATTCTTAAAAAAAAAACAATTTTATTATTAAATCACTTTATTTTGAAAATTACTATCAATAATAAATAGAGTCTTTGTAAGAAGAATAAAATAAGAATTGCAAAGAAATGGATAACAACTCAAACTTTATTAATAGAATGGTAGTCTGCGAATGGCGAGACTCCATTGATGATTACAAAGTTTGGAACATGGTAATATATTGGAAAAGATACAT